CCCACGCAGGGCCGCCGCCGCCCCTGCCGAGGGGCAGCGCTCCGCCGCCGCCCGCGGGGTCGGCCTGGCGAGGAGGCGCCGCGCCCGCGGTCGGGGCGGCGCCGCGCTGGGGTGGCGGCGCCGCGCGCGTGCGGCCCCTCCCCCGCGCCCGCCTTGGGGGCGCGCTGCCCGCATCCCTCGGGGCTGCGCGCTGCTGCGGTCCAGCTCGCGTCGTGCGCGTCGTTGCGCGTCGTTGCGCGTCGTTGCGCGTCGTTGCCCGCATCGTTGCGCGTCGTGCGCGTCGCTGCCCGCGTCGTGCGTGTCGTTGCGGCCCAGCTCGCGGCGGCGGCGGCGGCGACGACGACGGTGACGGCGGCTGCGTCTTGCGCGGGCGCCCCGCGCGGCGCCATGGGCAGCGGCGGGTGAGCCGGCACCGAGCTCCAGCTCCTGGAGCCTCTCGTCGGCGTCTGCGTTAGACCGTAGACGGGCTAACGGCGATGTAGGTAACGGCGGTGTAGCTTTCTGTATTGCGGGAACGCGTGGTTCGCGCTTACCTGCAATTCGCTGTGTCGTGTTCGCTCGATCCATTCGCATATTGGAAATGTTGGAAAATGTGTTTCGCGATTTCCTACACTTTGGTTCCGAACATTACCGTTAAGCATCATCGCTGTCAGCCTGGCCTTGGTTCGAGCAGTGGCGAATCGTCCCAGCTTGCCAATCGGCCCACAAAATAATGGTCTGAGAACCTTCCGTCATCTGCACAAGATGTTTTTGGAACATTTCTGGCTGAGACTGTCTTGTTTTAGCACATCGGGTTTATGCTATCCGAACAGTGTTGTTCTTCTTCGGAGATTTGGGTTCTAAGAACATGCCGTGGTAGGCCTATAGGAATGCCCTGCTCAATGCGTCTCCCGTGCCGCCCTCGGTGCCGCCAGCAGCCAGCCAGCGCCCGGCCCCGTGCCGAGCTTCGTCTGCGGCATCGTCGCCGCTGCCGCTCGCGTCGGGCGTGACTTTGGTCTTGGCGTTCCGTCGGCGGCCGCATCGGCTCTGGGCGTCGCCGTCGGCCCCGCATCGGCTCTGGGCGTCGCGTAGCGCCACGGCCATCGCCTCCGCCCCTTGCCCTGGGCGATGTGCGCCCCGACACTCCGCACTGCTCGCACGGCGCCCTCGCCCCGAATCATTTGCAGCAGGGCAGACTCGATGGCGCGAGGGCGCGGGCAGGGCCAGCCTCTGGCCTGCCAGGGCTGCCGACGCCTCGATTTGATGCGATTTGATTCGCCGCATGGGGCCGCGATTCGGGTTCGATTCGACCCCGGCTCGATTCACCAGCGTCGGCCCGGGCCAGCCAGAGCTAGGCGCGGCGATCCGATCTCGATTCGGGGCGATCCGCTGGCGATCCGATCCGTTTCCGACCCGATCCGATCCCGCGATCCGATTTTGCTCAGGCCTGCCCGTGGGCGCGCATCCGCTGCCGCCGCCGCGCCCGGCAGCTCTTCCCTGTCTGTGCGGCCCTAGGAGGCCACAGCCGCCGCGACCACCAGGATGCCTCGAGCCCCAGGCTTCCGCGGCGCCAGCGGCCGCGCCGCGCGCAGAATCCCGCGGGAGCCGCCGGCCTCCCTGCCCTGCCTGCCAGCCGTGCTCTCCCCGCACGGCAGTGCCTCCATCGCCGTGATGCTGCGACGGCGGACGGTTCCAGTCATCCAGGCTTCCCACACTGTGTCCGAGTCGGTGGGCTCGCAGGGTCGCGCCACACCGCCGATGCATTGGCGATGCGGCTCGACGTGGAGCCCGATGTTCTCCACGCCGACGTCGCCGACGCATCGCCGACGGCGCTGGCGCGGTCCTCCAGCCCCATGTGCTGGGACCCCGTTTAGGAGGCCTCCACCTCGGGCGTGCGAAGGTGCAGGTGTGAAGCCAACCGCCCCGCTCAACAGCTTGACCAAGGTTGCTACGTACGAGGACGACGACGGCGACGACGACGATGACGATGACGATGAAGATGATCATGGTGGTGCTGATGATGAGTATGAGGATGGCCATGGTTGCGAAGATAAGGATGATATCGGTTTCCTTGATTGTGATCGTGATAACGATGTTGACGACGATGAATGGCGACGATGACGATTGTGACGACGATTACAATGGTGACAAGGATGACGACGATGATGGTGCTGCTGCTGATGACGCTGACGCTGATGCTGCCGATGATGAAGATGATGATGATGATGATGATGATGATGATGATGATGCTGATGATGATGATGATGATGATGATGATGGTGGTGATGATGATGATGATGATAGCGACGATGATGGTGATGATGATGGTGGTGATGGCAGTGATGCTGCTGCTGATGATAATGATGATGATGCTTCTGCTGCTGATGATGTTGTTGATGATGCTGCTGGTGATGCTGATGATGATCCGATGATCATATGAAGAAGATGGTGGTAATGATGCTGATGCTGCTGATGCTAATGAGGCTGATGAGGTTGATGCTGCGTATGATGATGTTGATGCTGCTGATGATGATGTTGATGATGACGATGGTGATGATGATGATGCTGATGATGATGCTGATGATGATGCTGCTGCTGCTGATGATGACGATTATGCTGATGATGCAGATGATGACGATGATGATGATGATGATGATGATGATGATGATGATGATGATGATGATGATGATGATGATGATGCGTATGCCGATGACGATGGCGACGATGATGAAGGTGAGCATGCTGATGCTGATGATGGTGATCATGATGATGATGATGATGATGATGATGATGATGATGCTGCTGCTGATGATGATGATGATGATGATGATGATGATGGTGATGACGGCAACGATAAGTATCGTGGTCATGATGACGATGTTAATTGTGTTGATGATAGCGACCAGGCTGCCCTCGGCTTCTCTCCATTTGGGGCTGCGCACGTCGGACCGGAGCTGCCCCTCGCCTCCCTCTCCTCCCTCTCCTCCCTCTCGTCGTCGTCGTCGTCGTCGCTCTCCTGCTCCATCTTGCCTCCCTATCCCTCCTCCCCTCGCTCCTTCTCCGCAGCCCTTTCATCATCTCGAGCCGCACCAGGCTCTGGTCGACTTCTGATCGGCCCCTACACCTCGATCAATCTCTAGCACTTTCCCGAAAACATTAGGACATGGCCTGGTGCACCCAATGTGCGCCATCGTGTTCTCGTCGATCGCTGCTGGGGTCTCTGGCGAAGAGCCTGGAGCGCAGCCCATTCGCCAGCGCCCCGCAGCCCCACCTCGACCTGCTGGCGGCGATGCTGCTCCTGTCAGGGCTGCTCCTCAAGGAGGCGTGCGGGGTTGCGGGTCTCAGCGAGGAGCTCCTCGTCGGCGCCTTCCTCCTCGTCGCGCGCAGCCTCTTCACGTCCGCCCCGTTCCGTTCTGCCGCCGCCGGCTGCGCCGCACCTCACGGCGCCAGGGCCGCGCCGCGTCGGCCCGCGCCCGCCACGGGCCGCCAGGCGAAGTCCCGGCCCCGCGGCAGAGACCGTCTCGAGCCTGGCCCGGCGCGCGGCCTCGACCCCTCGGCTGCGGGGGGCGGGGCTGCGCGCCGGTACGACCCCCTCGGAGCGCAGGTCGCCCGCGGGAGCAGCAGGACAGACAGCGCGGCAGGCACGCGGCCCCGAGCTCCCGCGTGCCCGTCGCCTGCAGTCGCCAAGCCGGTCCACAGCCGCTGCCGCGGGCTTCGCGGCGAGTGCTCGTGGCTCGTCGCGGAGGCGCTGGAGAGCGGCGCCGCCGCCGACCTGAGCTTCTTCAAGAGGGTGGCTGGTTCTCTGGGCGAGGCCGCCTTGCGGGAGAGTGCCGCGGACCTGCTCCAGGCGATGCGCGAGCAGGGGCTGGTTGTAGATTGGGGCATCCAGATGCAACTGTCGCAGCCTTTTAACGGCAGCCTCCCTGACGATCTGATGGAGGGCTTTTGGGCCCTGAGGGAGCAGGACTGCGGGCTGTGCTGGACGGTGCTTCGGTCTCTCATGGTGGGGTACGAGCGGAAGGCGCCTGAGCGCACGCTGGAGCTCTATGAGGGCATAAAGTCGTCAGGGCTCAAGCCAGACCTCTTAGTCTGCAACGCTGTGCTGTGCGCTCTTGCTCAGGGCGCCCGGGCCAGTGAAGCCCTCCAGCTGTTCCAGCAGATGTGCCCCGACGATGGGGCGTCCAACATCGGCACGAGCCCAAACGGCAAGTCGTATGGCTCAGTGATCCGGGCCTGCACGGCAGGTGGCAGGAATAAAGTGGCGGTCGCTCTGTTTGACTGCATGGTGACGAAGGGTATCAAGCCGAACCGGTTCGCCTACCACGACGCGATCTTGAGTCTCATGAGGCTCAAGAAGATACGCAGGGCCTGGAACCTCTATCTTAGCATGAAGAGGGACGGGGTGCCCCCGTGTGACAACACCCTCCGCCTCTTAATCCGCACGTGCGCCATGCGCGGGTGGCACGAGGAGGCGGCGAGCATCTCCGAGCATTTCCGCAGCGCGAAGAGGGCTGAGGCGCAGGTGGAGTCCGAGGCCGCCACGGAGTTCCGGGAGTCCTCGGCCGAGGGGGAGTCCGAGTGAACGCGCGCGTCCACGGCGGTCTCCCGACGCCCCCCACAGATTATAGCGGCAGGTGTGAGCCCGTTTACCTTGCACGCGGTCGCATGCTCCATTTGAGCTGCCGCGCACGTCCGCCAGGGTGGCCAGGGAAGCGGTGTAGCCTGCAGCGTGGCACGGCCAGCCTACGACTGTCGCGGCGCCCCTGGGAAGCCTTCTCGGGGCCTCTGGGGAGCCTGCGTGAAGGCATTATGTCGGCATCGCCCGGACGTACTTTGATGGACCTGTTTTCCACCACCACCACCATACGTTGGAGGGGGGGAGGAGGAGGAGGAGGAGGAGGAGGAGGAGGAGGAGGAGGAGGAGGAGGAGGAGGAGGAGGAGGAGGAGGAGGCTCAGGAGGAGGAGGAGGAGGAGGAGGAGGAGGAGGAGGAGGAGGAGGAGGAGGACCCCCTTCCCCTCCTACTTGTGGTGGTGGTGGTGGAGAACGAGCCCACCACACTTCTGCCGTGTGCGCGTCGGGCCGCCAGGGGGCGACGCGCGCGCTCAGCACTCCTGCAGTGTGTGCGCGGCGAGCGGCTGCGGCAGCGGGCGGCCGCAGGCCGGCCGGAGCGGCAGTTGGGCCGAGCTCCTCGGGAGAGAGAGGCGAGAGCTCTGAGGCGGGGATTTCTACCCAAGCACCGCCTGGAGGGTCGATACCGGAGATCTCGACGGGCGGTGGACATGGATATGTCTGGGTCCCCAGGGGCCAGAATATGTCTACGTCCATGTCCACCGCCCGCTGGGGCACCAGGGCGTCGGTTCCCAGGCGGTGGATACGGACAAATCCGATCCCCACTTCGCAGGGGCGGGAATCGTAGGCGCGCTCGGACTTGGGCGCCCTGCTCCTCCAAGCAGAGCTCGTGTGGTGATCGTTTTCTTATTCGTTGCTTTGGCGATCGGCGCGCGCCCTCGCACCCCTCCCCCTCCCCCCCTCCTCTGGAGTAGATCTCGCCCGTTTTCTGCGCTTGTTTCGAGCAGGTGGAGTCTCCCCCGTAGGACGCACTGTTGTAAACAGTCGCGTTAAGCAAAGGTCCAGAGCCAGATCCGCTCCCCTCACCCCCCCCTTCCGCCCAATATCCAAGCGCCGAATAAGAAAACGTTGACATGTACTCGAGGGTCTTTCCCTTGTTCATACAATGCTGGGTGCGGTTACGCACGCACTTTTTGGTTCCAGAGGTTGCGCCACGGATTTCACCATGCGATCCCATGGTGCCCTGGAGTGCGTGGGCACCATAGGTTGCGCCACAGGCTGCGCTGTGGGTTGCGCCATACGTTGCTCTTCATTAGTTTGCTTTGATTTGCAACGCCTTTTGTTGCTTTCCATGTCTTTGCTTTGCTCATAGTCGGTTCACCTTGCAATGACTCGCTTCGCTATGCCTTGCTTTGCGCTGCTTTCGCACATTTGTCTTGCTTTGCAGTCCTTGCATTGATTTGTATCTCTTTGTGCCGACTCGGTATGCACTGCATAGCGTTGCACTGTGTTACATCGTTTTGCAGTTGTTTGCGCTACTGTGCCTTGCTTTTACCGTGTTGTGCTTCAATACCTTGTGTTTTGTGCTTGTCATCGTATTCCGCTGCATTGATTTGCATTCCTTTGCGTCGCAATGCATGTTATTCCCCACATGTTTCGTGGGGGTCTGGTTTTCTTCCCTGCCGCGGCGCACCCGCGTCTCCTCCTCCCCTCTCTCTCCTTCTTACACAGCGCAGCACAGCACAGCACAGCACAGCACAGCACAGCACAGCACAGCACAGCACAGCACAGCACAGCACAGCACAGCACAGCACAGCACAGCACATGCACAGCAGCGTAGGGGGTGCGTAGGGGCTGGTCTCTCACCGCGGCCGCTATCCGTGACGGTCGTCCAGGGCACAGCAGGCATGGCATATTCTCGACAGCGTAGGGGGTGCGCAAGGGGTGGTCTCTTACCGCGGCCGCTATCCGTGACGGTCGTCCAGGGCACAGCAGGCATGGCATATTCTCGACACCATAGGGGGTGCGCAGGGGGTGGTCTCTCACCGCGGCCGCTATCCGTGACGGTCGTCCAGGGCACAGCAGGCATGGCATATTCTCGACAGCGTAGGGGGTGCGCAAGGGGTGGTCTCTTACCGCGGCCGCTATCCGTGACGGTCGTCCAGGGCACAGCAGGCATGGCATATTCTCGACACCATAGGGGGTGCGCAGGGGGTGGTCTCTCACCGCGGCCGCTATCCGTGACGGTCGTCCAGGGCACAGCAGGCATGGCATATTCTCGACACCATAGGGGGTGCGCAGGGGGTGGTCTCTCACCGCGGCCGCTATCCGTGACGGTCGTCCAGGGCACAGCAGGCATGCATATTCTCGACAGCGTAGGGGGTGCGCAAGGGGTGGTCTCTCACCGCGGCCGCTATCCGTGACGGTCGTCCAGGGCACACCAGGCATGGCATATTCTCGACACCATAGGGTGCGCAGGGGGTGGTCTCTCACCGCGCCGATCCGTGACGGTCGTCCAGGGCACAGCAGGCATGGCATATTCTCGACACCATAGGGGGTGCGCAGGGGGTGGTCTCTCACCGCGGCCGCTATCCGTGACGGTCGTCCAGGGCACAGCAAGCATGGCATATTCTCGACAGCGTACGGGGTGCGCAAAGGGTGGTCTCTTACCGCGGCCGCTATCCGTGACGGTCGTCCAGGGCACAGCAGGCATGGCATATTCTCGACACCATAGGGGGTGCGCAAGGGGTGGTCTCTCACCGCGGCCGCTATCCGTGACGGTCGTCCAGGGCACAGCAGGCATGGCATATTCTCGACACCATAGGGGGTGCGCAGGGGGTGGTCTCTCAGCGCGGCCGCTATCCGTGACGGTCGTCCAGGGCACAGCAGGCATGGCATATTCTCGATACCACAGGGGGTGCGCAGGGGGTGGTCTCTCACCGCGGCGCTATCCGTGACGGTCGTCCAGGGCACAGCAGGCATGGCATATTCTCGATGCCATAGGGGGTGCGCAGGGGGTGGTCTCTCACCGCGGCCGCTATCCGTGACGGTCGACCAGGGCACAGCAGGCATGGCATATTCTCGACACCAGAGGGGGTGCGCAGGGGGTGGTCTCTCACCGCGGCCGCTATCCGTGATCTTTTTCGGTTCGTACCAGGGCACAGCAGGCATGGCATATTTTACGACACCATAGGGGGTGAGCAAGGCGTGGGTTCTCAGCGCGGCCGATATTCCGATATCGTGACGGTCGTCCAGGGCACAGCAGGCATGGCATATGTCTCGGACACCCATAGGGGGTGCGCCAGGGGGTGGTCTCTCACCGCGGGCCGCTATTCCGTGACGGCTCTGTCCAGGGACAGCAGGCATGGATCATTCTCAGACACATAAGGGGGTCCAGGGGGTGGTCTCTACCCTCGGCCGCGCTATCCGTGACAGGTTTCGTCCAGGGCACAGCAGGCATGGGATCTTCTCGACACCCATAAGGGGGTGCGCAGGGGGTGGTCTCTCACCGCGGCCGCTATCCGTGACGGTCGTACAGGGCACAGCAGGCATGGCATATTCTCGACACCATAAGGGGTGCGCAGGGGGTGGTCTCTCACCGCGGCCGCTATCCGTGACGGTCGTCCAGGGCGCAGCAGGCATGGCATATTCTCGACACCATAAGGGGGTGCGCAGGGGGTGGTCTCTCACCGCGGCCGCTATCCGTGACGGTCGTCCAGGGCACAGCGGTATCGGCGGGGCAACGGCCACCAACATCATTCTCACATGCTTCACTTCAGCTGTAATCTCTCCAGCCATCATATTAGTATGTGGGGTTCCTCGGTAGCGTAATTATTTTGCGTTTCTTTTCATCTCTTTGCGTTTGTTTGCATTGCTTTTCATTGTTTTGCGTTTCTCTACGTTGTTTGGTGCTGAGTTGCATTGCTTTGTAATGTATTCGTATGGAATGCACGGATTTGCATTGCCTCGAGTTGTTTCGATGTCTTTGATTCGCATTGCGTTGCTTGTCGCTGCTTTGCTCTGCACTGCTCGGCAGTCCCTTCTGTTGACCTGTGGTGCTTTGCAATGCTTTGCACTGCTTTTCACTACGCCTCAGTGTTTTCGCTAGTTCCACGGTGTTGTGCCCACATTGGAGGCACGATTGCCATGATTAGCTTGACATGGGGAATTATGGTACACTAGTGCGCAGTGCGAAGCACATACACTGGGGAGGCAGGCACAGAGACGATCATTCAACCGATGAATGTGCCAGCAATCGCGCCAGCCATGCCGCAACCCGGCAAGCGGCATGAACTCCATGCGAACATTCCCTCGGCATCCAAGTCACCGCCCAGAGGCGACCCTCGCGAAGCCGCTCCCCATTAAGCGGTAAGGGTAATGAACGGAGCTCGACACACGCCGACGCACTGCCAGCGTGCCATCGCAATCGCGGCCATGCGGGACAGCTCTGCATCACGCCCGCCTCAAGTGCACGATCAATCTTCCATGGTTTAGTGCTCGTGGCTGGCTGCCCAGATCAGGCTGGTAACGGTGTTTGCTCGCCTACTGAACGTGCCCTGATGGCGTGTGGTCCGTCGAAGCGACTCGCTGGCATTTGCGGATAGCATCTTTGAACGGTTATTGTGATGCTTCCAGCGACCAATCGAAGGGCGCATCGGCAGGCTCCTGGCAGCCTATTTGGTGTTTCCATGGTGCGTGGGGGGGGCACTGCCGGTCTTTTGAGGAACTTCTCATTCTGACTCCTCTTTGATTTTCGTATCTCCCTCTTTTGCCCGCTGCTTAGTTACTGCACCTCGTGTGTCGACCTCCTTCTCTCCGCGGCTTCTGCCTGCGGAAGCGTTCCCACTTTGAGCCTTCTCCTCAGCGGCTCTGGCAGTCAATTCAGCACGCCTCCTTTGCGTCTTGTACGGCTCCTGCTGCTCGAATGAATGTTTTTTATTTCCCTTCTGACACTGACTCGGCCACTTAGCCTCGTCTCCTAGGACACGTTTTGGTACATAAGCTCTACCAC